AATACCTATGACCGTATCTCTGATAAGTGATTAAATATACATATCTGGCTTTCCAATTATACATAGAACAAATCAACATTGTGCTATATTCCTTAAAATACAATTACCTGTTGTACAAATAAGCGGTCCCCCTTAACACTAGCTTTGGTATCTGAATGAGACAGACTATTAATAGCTCAGTATCTAGAAACTAAACACAATCCCAATTTTTGGCAATAGAGTCTATTTTTGGTGGGAATGAGTACTCTCTGAGACAGTGTAGCACAAGCAATTCCCTGATACCAGAACACCTGGGGTCCTGGAGTCCAAGCTCAGGGCCACCCTGCATGATGAAATGCCCTGGAGAGCCATAAACTGTGGGGAGATAGGGACTTCCCAATGTCATATAAAGCACACTTTGATGACCTTGCTAAGTTTATATGAAAACAATAGCATTATTGCATTAACTTATCCACTGGAACTTCCAGTCAGCCACTTGGCTACACATTAAATTATCTGTGCTTTCCCAGTGATTTAAAATATCAATCACCCCTACCATAAATCTGATCTGTAGTTCAGTCTGTCTCCGACTGTCCCTTCTTGACAATCTTTTCTGCCTTTCCTTTCATATTACCTTATTTCTTCTGGACTCCTTATCTCTGACAATTCTTTCAAAGTCTCCTTTGTCCCTTTATTCAACATTGTTCTGCCAGGCTCTCTGTGGGAGGTTTGCCCTGGGTAATCTCCTGCATTCTCATGACTTCATTTCTCTGCTGATGAAATGCAAATTTTGGGCCACCACCTGTGGTTGCACAGTTCAGTCACTGCACAATGGTGCCAGGCCACGGGGGCAAGCAGGGGTGAATTCATTCTGCTCTCTGCTTGCCAAGCTGTGCACTCACACAGCCTCCCAGACTCTCACCTCTAACCCAGATGGCCCCTGAGCCACAGACAGTCCATCCAACTGTAAGCTGGCCACCTCTCCCAGAGGTCCCTCAAGGAACCACACACTCAACATGGATTCATCTTCCTCCTTCCAAACCTGTCCCTCCCTCTGTCCCCTATTCTTGCTGCATGGCTCCACCACACAAGGCAGAAAACCCAGAGGACTCTGAGCATTCTTTCCCTGATCTGCCACATTCTGTCAGGCAGATTCTACCTCCTCCTGTCCAATCACTGCTGTAGACATGGGGCTGACCTCATTATTTCTCTTCTCATTTAGTCTGCCAGGCTCCAGGCCTTCCATCCTTAAACCCTTCACTGTGCTGCAACAAGCAACCTTACCACAATATTCTCACCATGTCACGCCACCGCTTTGAAACCTTCCATAGCTTTCCAGTGCCCACCAGGGCAAAGTGTCATATGGGGTCTTTTGTGGGTCAGACCCCCAACTCCCTCTCCCTGCTTTGATCCTTACCCATGCCAGACACACAGGCTCTCCTTGCTGCCTTCCCTCTGTGCATGCCATGACCTCAGCGTGGAAGCCCAGAGTCAGGGGCCCCTCCTCCCAGACTCATTTGCTGTCTAGATAATGTCGACCATGCTCCTTTCTGAGGCCCCAGGTTTCCACATGAATAATACCCACAATGCTTACTGGTTTCTAAGTTTCTCTGACTCCATTAAACTGCCTTTTTCAAAGGTGGAGACAGCCTCTCATTTGATTTTGTATGCCCCAGCCCAGCACAGCGACCAGCAATGACAATCCCCAACCACAAAGTCCTAACTGGATGTACAAATAAGCAGATTAGCCAAAGCAAGGTAATACGAATGTAAATTGGACTTAAAATCAGTTATCTTTTTATACGGTATAGAAAACAGGGACAGCACCCCCATTGTCCTCAAACACCCTCTGCAAAAGGAGAGATTAGGGATTAAGGGAGACTAGAAGTGTTGGGAAGAAAGGTAGGCAGGCACGAAGAAGAGAGGATAGCCAGTGATGGCGCAGAGCAGGGCCTCTGCATCTTGGGAGTGGTGCACAGCTCTGGCCTGCGTCACATGGCGGAAAAGGCCCAACAGTTGGGGCAGAAAGGTGGATGCTGTAGCCCAGCCATGAGCAGATACAAACTCAAATGTCTCCAGGAGTCAGGAGGCCAGATAAATGTGAACATGGCTATCTTAACAGGTATTTCCCTGCAGAAAGGCAGTTCAGATTCAAAAAGTTAAAGAACAGTCCAGTTGCCAAATAAACCCAGTCTAAGAAAGGATTCCATAAGAGAAGCAGAAAGACAGCTGGGCTTCCCATTCTCTTAGAATAAGAACAAAATCATTAATGTGATGTTCAGGGTCTGCCTGACCCCTCTAAATGAGACTAACTCTTTGCTATCAGAAAGGCATTTCCCATCTCCAACCCCTTCCTCATCCTTTGCCTTAGCTGAAGGGGTACCTCCTCCCCGAGGAAGTCTCCCCTGACCTTCTGATCTCTCTGGAACATGCTCTCAAAACCACCTAGACTTCTTCACAGTCCTGCTCATGATTATAATCAGATACATATTCATTTAAAATCTTCCTGCACTCTAAGATAGGCACTTTGAGGACAGGAACTGCTTCTAATTCATTATTAAACCCAGCAGTCTGCCTGGGACATACCTGAGACCCAAGTAACTGTTGCTGAATGAATGAGTCAATCAAACAGAAAAAGAATGAATTAAACAATTAGTGAATAAAGAAGGCATGTATCAAGAAGGGAAGACCACAGAGCCAGGATCACCACAAGCATATCAGAGAAGGTGGGAAAGGATGAGTAGGGCCTGCCCCACTGGAGATGACGGAGAGCCTGCAGCAAGGGTTGGCAGTAGCACAGCATGTGGGCCCTCCCTGGCCCACCCACTTACCATGGCATCCATGAACTGCAGGGCTATGATCGTCTCTCACATTTTTAAGCAGTCAAAGAAGACCCAAAAGAGGAAGAGTGTTTCACAGCACGTAAAAGTGATTTGAAATTCACCATTCCAGAGTCGACAGATAAAGTCTAGTTGGAACACTGCTACACTCATTGATTTGCGTCTCGCCTATGGCTGCTCTCCTAGGACAATGCTAGAGTTGAGTGGCTGTGACAGAGACCATGTGAGTCTAAAGCTGAAAATACTAACTAGCTGGTTCTTTACAGGAAAAGTTTGCTGACCCCTGTCCCAGAGCCTGTTGGGATCACTATCTCCCAGGACCCACAAGGAAACCTGAACCCGGTGGCACATGCTCAAGTCTGGGCCTTGAAAAAGCTACTATATTTTGTCTGTTAATGTAAAATTGGACATTAATAGCCCCTTAATAAAGAGGAGGCCTGCTATATCAACGGTGGTGTACACCTGGCAGTGGACTATTACACAGCCATGTTAAAAAAAAATTGAGTTAGACTACAATGTACAAGTACAGAAAGATGCCCATAATCCACTAAGCAATTTACAGAGCAACATGGATAGTCTCCCCAGTTGATTAAAAGGAATGAGTGTATTTGTGTTTGGAAAGTGAGAGGATAGGAGTTATCTGGAAGGATGTGCATGATAAATAGCTCTAGGAAGTGGGATCATGGATTTTTAATTTTTATTTTACTTTCTGAGTTTTTTTTTTAACCAAGAATATACTATTCTCTAATAAAAACAGTAAGATAAACAAAAATACAGATTTTAGAAAGTCACTTTTACCCCCCAACCCTTGGCAACAGAGTGACTAATTCAGGACAAGGATGGCCCCAAATCCTTGATGATCTCAGGATCATATGGTCCGATTTCTGCATTTCACAGATGGGGATCTGCACACAGACACACTTTCCCCTGAAACTTCGAAGTCTGATAATAGTGCAAAGCTGCTCACGTTGTTTGTTTTGAGGAAGCTTAAGAACAGAATAGGCAGAAACAGCGCTACTTCCCTTTTCCTAGAAACCCTGGTTACCTTTTCAAACGGCAGACCTGCCTCGAGCCCACAGGAGCCCCAGCCACCAGCCACCCTGAGGGGCAGCTGTCAGCTGCTTTCTCTGTTCCTCGCTCTAAACGGCAGCTGGCTTTCCTGTCACCAAGGCCCAACTGAGAGCAGGCTTACAATCATCAGTCACATTAATGGTCCTGCCAGGAGGGCACAGATAAGGAAATGGGGGCCAAGGTTGGGCCAACAGGTGGATGTGGGTGGGAGTTCACGTTCGGCCTTGGCACACACACCTATGATTCCCACCAAATCTAACTGCCTGTGTTTCCTTCCTCTCTGCGCACTTGTGGCAATTTCCCTGGGGATCATGGAGGTCAAGAGGCAGAGCAGTTGGCTGGTCTGCTCTGCCCTGCCCCGCCCAAGACCACGGCTGCCAACACGGCTCTGCTGTTCTCATTAAGGAACCTGCCACTCCCTCTGTAAACCTTCTCTGGCCTTCTTGCAGGCTCCTCTAGAGCCTCCACTGTGGGATCCTGGAGGCACTGTGAAGGCCCAGGAAGTCCACGATAATGGGGGGTGGGAGGGTGGCAAGAAGGTGCCGTCCTGTGTTATCTATTATCATAAACAATCCATCAGTAGCCCTAGCATTTCCCAAAGAACATTCCAAGATGTGCCACCAGCCAATGAGATATTTCAGGGAAGAGAAAGCAATGCTGTGGCAAAATTAGGGAACCCCCACACTTCCAATCCCTGTTGGGGAACTTTTGTATCAGTAGGATTTTCCAGGTTCCAAGAAATTGTGCAGTGGCTAAACCTGTGTAACATGATTTCAACCAGCTGTTGACCACAGACCCTTTTGAGGTCCTACTTTGGAAAACAGCCCCAGGTCATGAAGCTGGGTTCAACAGAGGTTCTCTGGGGTGGCTCTGAGGTCCTGGGATGACCCCAACCTTGAAGGGCAGCCATCTCAATCCAGGCTTGAACCCCTACCACCCAGCACCATGGAGAAAGCAAGATTCCACTGCAGCCTCTGAGACAGATTTCTGAAGAAAAAACCTAAAAACTGGGAGGTGGGAGAAGGAGAAGAAAACTGCACCCCACAACCCCCGACCAGAGAGATGGCAACCTGGGGACTGGTGTGGGATGCTCCTCAGGGGAGCACTCACCATTGGTGGTCGTGTTGACATAGTAACGCCGGCCCTGTGGAGACAAGTAGCTTTGCCAGCCAGGTGGGAGGATGACAGTCTGGCCTTCCTCTCCTGGCGGAGGTGGTACCATTCCAGGCTTCTGTTGAGGAGAAAAGAAAAGGTCACAACACTGGGCATTTTTGCAACTATTTTTCAGCCAGTTTTTGACTAGGAAGTCAGAGGCAGATGAAGTCACTCTGGAATAGCTGATGAGTGAAGGGGAGGGAGGGGTGGTGGTCCACAGGTATCCCTGGGGAGATCACAGGCCACATGTGTGATTTTGGGGATTGCCTCAGCATGAGGTAAGAGGAGGACTTTCTTTTTCAGAGCCACCACAGAGGGGACAGCCTCCCCTTGAGGACAGAGGGAAATGTCAGTCCGTTCAGAGAGCTGGACTTTCTCCCTATCAGCCCCTTAGAAAACTACTCACTGGGGTGCCGTGCTTGCTAGCCACCTCCCCACCTCCCCACCCCTGCTGCACTGACCCGTGGTACTCAGCAAAATCCCAACGTGTAATCGGAAGCCTGAAATCCGCAGGACCACCAAGCACAGCAGCAGATGAGGCCCAGGGCCTGTTGTGCAAGCCTACAGAAGCAATTAATGCGATTCTCAGGAGAGTGTGATGTAAAACCTTCTATAATAACACCATGTCGATGAGGAGCTATGTGGAGTTCTTCTCATCAAGTGTCCAAACCACCCTGGCAAAGAGAACTGGGCACCAGAGGCAAATCAGCGACTCCCTTTTCGCTCTGTGTATTTCTGTGTGGTTTAATTCTTCTAACCACAAATAGCTCTACTTTCGAATAAGTAGCACTTAAAAATAAAAATCATAAAAATAGATATAGCACTGAGAAACCAGAGGCTAACCCAGAGGTGATTTCCGGTGGTGAGATTATGGGCAAGTTTTATATTCTCATCTTCCACTTCTCGCTTCCATCTAAATTCTCTTCAGTAAAAACAAAAATAAAACTTGCTAGCTGAAGAACATTTGAAAGAAGGAAAGAGGGTCCAAATCAGCCCACACAATTGCCGTGCCTTGTGAGGAAAGTAAATTGATTTAAATCAGGATTCTAGCCACACGAGGAGAGGAGTGTGAATTTCTTGGCAGAGCCGGACCCTGTTCAGAAATATCAAAATGAAATAGACTCAAAAGTGTCCCTGGCCTCCGCCAGCCATAGCCACAGAGGTGGTTTTGGTCACTGATGACCATTGCTTAGGGAAACAAGGTAAAAGATGGAAAACTGGCTGTAGAGACACACAGCTCCATCACTGCTCTGCTCTCTAAAGGATGCAAAACCCTTTGCTTCTCCTGTGGTGCCCTGCACGCCCTCCGCAGGGATCAGATCAATCCTATCTGCTCCTGGGACTTTGAGTAAACAAGTCCTCCCCATGACCAACTTCTGTCTCCCACAGCTGCTGACCCACAGCACCTCTTTTATTCAGTGTGGAAGACTGTCTTCTAAACTACCAGTGGGGCGATGGACAGCAGCCAGGAGCCCCTCTCACTAGCAGAGCACACCCACTGAGCTCAGACACACTCCCGAGCCAGTCTACCTGGGCCTCTGAACTCTGCTCGGGCCTCTCCCAGATTGGAAGGTGATTAAAATACACACACGACTAATAGCCTTAGTGTATATGCATGTGTGTGTGTGAAATATCCCACATACAGGAGATGTATATTTTGGCTGAGTGAGGCTGGGAATGAATAGGAATAGGGAGGTCGGGGGCTTGGCTGAAAAGAGAGATATTCTAAAACCAGAGAGTAAGGTACCAGGTTGCTTCTGCTTGAGTCAGATACCTTAGAGCATCCAAGACGGGAAGGCCATGGAGGCAACTGTCCGAGTAACCTGGGAGGACCTGGGAAACTGCTGGAGGGTATTAAGAAAGGGCTGGAGATTGACGTGGCCAGAAATAGGTCACAGAGGAGAGAGGGACCCAGCACCACGGTGGAAATGGCCCTCTGGCCTTGGGCTCAAGCCTGACTTGGCTGTTGAGTAGCCACATGACCCAGGGAAATGACTCAACCAGCTGTCTATTTCCACATCTGCACGATGGAGGATGCTGATGTTAGCCCCGTTGTGGAAAATGCTGTGGAGATAACAATAATCGAGGGTCCCAGCAGGAAGAGGCCACAAATGCCCAGCAAGGCCAGGCTTCACACAGCCTCCACCTATTGCAGTGGGGTGTTTGGGGGCTGCACCATGGCCTCCACTCAGCCTCACCATCAGCGCGACTGAAATGTCAGCAATAAGTCATTCCTCCGAGGTTTCTAGGTTCTAAGACTACGTGGCTAAAAGGCAAACACACACCCGCCAGGTAGGCTAACTCATTAAGATGTTGACTAATACGCGTCTTCTGGGGGAAGGCCTCTCCTCCGGGCTGCCGGAGCGTCTGACCCGTCTGACCCCACCGGCGGTACGGCGACACCTGCCCCAGCCCCACAGCGCAGGGCTTGCTTTTCTCTTCAGAACAACTCTAGCTAATGCACCTTAACTCTGTGGTGTCAGAATAAGCCCCAGTTTCCATCTGAGGACAGTGACGACCCAGGGGCCAGGGTGGCTCTGAGATCTCCCCTATTGGGACACGCAGGACGAGCTGGGTTGACCCTGCAGAAGGTGCCTGGGGGAGGGGCACCCTGATCCTGAGCCGGGAAGGGCCAGGAGGTGCTGAAAGAGCGAGGAGGAGGGCACCAGGGCCAACTCCACCATTTCCTAGCTTGGCCAGCATGGCAAAGGCAGTCTCCACATCTCCAGCAGGGCCGGGGTCCCGCTCTGCCTGCTGTCCGGCAGCGCTTTGCCTCCACCCCCGAGACGGCCACAGCCCTCTGGCCTTTCCCCTCTCCCGCCGGCTGACCAGAAACAAGTCAGGAGCCTCGTGAAGGTGGCTGGGAACAAGCCCAAGAGAACTGAAAATGGCGCTCTAGATTGGTACACTCGTGTTCACAGGCAGTATCCACATGGCCAAAAGGGAGAAACAGCCCAGCTGCCCAGCAACTGAAGAAGAGATACACAAAATGTGGTGTATCCAGGCAAAGAAAAAGAACAGAAAGATCAGCAGTTGCCGAGGGCTGGGGGGATGGGTGCAGGGTTTCCTTTCCGGGGGGATGGACATGTTCTGGAACTAGACAGTGGTGGCTGCACAATAATGGGAATGGAGAAATGTCACCAATGAGGAATTTCATGCTTTTGATCAGAATTAAAAATAAAATCTTGAGATGTGGAGAAGGCAGCAGGTGGCCTCCCCACCTGCAGCCCTCATTTAAGTGACCTAAGCCCCCACCGTTGCCTCATCCCTCATGGCCATGGAGGAACAGGCCTCCTGGGAGAGTCTCCCCATAGCCATCAGGAAGACACAGTGTTAGCGATCACCCAGTAATTAAGGTCTCTGCCATAGTATCCCTCTAATGAGTTTCCTTCCAAGTAAAATCCTCCCTTTTTCCTTTCCCTAGACGTGCAGTCTCCCCTCTTCAATGCCATCAGCTCTTTCCCACAGGAATAGGAACCAGACGTGGAGGTGACACAGGGCCAGAGACTGGGGACCTACCTATAGTGAAGAGGACAGGGGGATGAGTGGGGGGGTGAAGCCATTGGTTTCCTCCAACTCTCAGAAATTCTTGACCTAATGCACAGGATGACTTTGTGAAAATTATAAAATATGGCTTCTTCCTCTAGATGCACCACCCCTGAAATCCAAGGCTGGGTTTCAGCCTCCCCTGGCTCCCTCATCTGGGCCCCCTGTTCAGTAAACAACCTGCTCAACTATATATGGAGGCCCATCCTCTGGGAATCTGAAGAAAACTATGGATTTTCTGCCCCCAAAATGGGGTCGTGCGCACACATACATGCCTTATTTACGATAGAATATCAAGAGGTTTCTAGACAATTTCAGAAACCTAGTCTAGTAGGTACCCAAAAGCACTGAGCTCAGACCCCATTTGTGCCCACTGATAATGACTTTTACCACTCACCAAATGTTTACATTGCACAAGGGCTGGGTCAGGTGCTTTACACACTTACCTGTAACCTTTAGGACAAGCCTGCCACAGAGAGGCCATTTTTCCCCATTTTAAAAGGAAGCTTCTGAGACTCAAAAGAGTTTAAGTAAACTCACCCACCCAACAATGCACAGCTAATTAAATGGTAAAACCCAACTTTAAAATTTAGCTTTGTTCTAAAGAGTTCTGCCCCATTGTCTACATGCAGGCTTCCATTATTACCTTTCTCTCCCCCACTATCCCCAATCAGCAACATTTCTTCACATGAACCACCTGCCATCCCGGCTTCCACCCAAGGAGGATGACAACTCAGGTCTGATTCTCCTGCCTGTCTCACAGTCTCCAAGTAAGCAGATGCCTTCCCAAGAGATATGCAGAAATATCACCACCCACGTCCAGCAGTCACGTTCCCTAGCTGTAGCCTAACTTCTTGTCTCTTTATTTAAAACAACACAAGCAAAGAAATTTTCCTCTTAATGAAGGCTACTGATTCCCCCTGAAGGAAGAAAAATGAGCAGGAAAGCAAAAGGTAGTCATCCAGAGATTAAAAGCCAATCCCCTACAGCAGAGTTTCTCAAAAGTGTGGTTAGCTGGGGCACCCCGTCAGTCCTGGGATGTGGGTTAGTGCAGATTCTGACTCTCTGATCCAAACACCAAACCAGCCTGGAGCCTAAGAAGCTGCCTTTCAACCTGCCTCCGAGGTGAGTCTTATTGCTCTCTGAACTCAGGAGAGACCCGCTTTCAGCTTTAGAGGGAGCAGTTGAAAGAAAACATCACTTCTGAAATCAAAACTGGGAACACAAAATTTTAATAAGTACAATTTATGGAAAGACAGTGTTTACAGAGAAGACAAGTAGTGACTCTATAGCATCTTAGTATGCTGATGGACAGTGACTGTAATAGGGTATGTGGTAGGGACTTGATAATGGGGGGAATCTAGTGACCACAATGTTGTTCATGCAATTGTCTATTAATGATACCAAAAGAAAAAAAAGAAAAGAAAGACAGTGTTTAGCTGCATGGCTACTTATTTTTTTAAAAACCCTCCTATCCCCTAGACCAAACCTTCAAATAAGTATTTAAGAGGGATTCGATCCTGTCTCTGC